CTTTACAACTGGAATGAAAGACTTTCACTGGGTATCATTCCCATCTTTTTGCAAAGAAAAATGTCTAAAACCAAAGGATCTTAATTCCCATCAGCTAACACAGAGCCAGATCGACCAGTTACATGAAGAACAGGGCCAAGCAGCTAAACTGAAAAGTTTACCTTCTACAGCTGAAAAAACATGCTGCCTAAGTATTACAGATGGAGCCAGAAATAGGGTTGGGGAAGACACATCCAGTTTCAAAATACCTTTTTTAAGTCCCAAATCACATCAACTCACTCAACACAGGACACTGTTGCAAAGCTCTGCAAAAGCCTTCAGCATCCCACAGCACTGCAGAAAGACTGCCCAGAACAGCAGGGAAAACAGAAAAGAAAATGCTGGGAAAGAGCTTCAAATACAAACACATCAGGGGAGTGTTTCACTCAATGAGGCCAGACACATCCCTGCAGAGGAAAAGCCTCCTCTTGCCAGCATACCTGGAACTGGAAGCAGCACGGAGAAGACTGAAAATCAGAGTGAAGGATCGCCAACTCTTGACAGTTGTCCAATGTGTCTGATTCATTTTAGTGGAACGTAAGTACATATATTTTAATAACTTCACAGTATACAAACCCCAAAATGGTTCTTGATGCTCTCTCTATACACAAAATAAGGAAAACAGACAAAACTTCTGCTATACTGTTTAAATGCCAAAATTACCTGCTTCTAATTCAGTTTAGCAGTTCATGATTACTAGATTATACTGGTTCAAAAAGACAGCTAAGTGTGAGGTCTGTGGTTATGAGGTTTCTAAACCATGTATGTACAAATTCTCTGTATTTGCAGACTGTCACAATTGGATATTGATGGCCATCTTGCCAGATGCTTGTCTGAAAGTGCAGATGATGTCATGTGGTAAATCCAGGAGAATGAAGAGCGAAGGAACAAGGCCAAGGATGAGCCTTTCTCAAAGGAAAAACGTGTTGAGGAAGCACATCCTTGTCTCAAACTCGCTAAGGATCACAAACCAATAACTCAACAGAAAGCCACGTGCCACCTGCCTGTTTGGGGTCTGTATTTTAAATCCTCTCAAATGCATGTAAAATAGTTCTAGTGCTGGGAACAGTGCTATAGGCTGTCCCGGAGACTCCCAGGGAAATCACTCTTGGCACTCCGGAATCGGGTACTTCTGAAAAAACGCACTATTGTAAATCACTGCAGAACTTGCTTTGCCGGATGCAGCATAGTTGTTTTGAATCTGTAAGCACAGAATAAAGCAGCTGAACAAAAGATAACTATTATTTCATCTCATCCCAAAGTTTAATGACTTTTTTCCCTAAATAAGTAATCTGTGAAAATAAGCTTAATTAAAAAGTCATTCAAGCTTAGATATTTAAAATCATGGAAAATGCTAAGTAAAAACTCAGATGATTGATTTTGTGAGTGTATCTTATGTTGAAAGAAAACACAACCCAGACTAAATAAAGGATGTAGGGTTTTTTTTATCTTTCAGAAGGAACATAGAAGCCTAAAAAGCAAGGTTATGAATTCAGCTAAGTCAGTATCCACTTGATAACATGACTAGTCTCAACTAACCAGGCTCCAGCATTTCTCCTGACAGTTTCACAAGATTTAATACAGTCAGTCAGCCAAAACAGCTGCTTTCTGTATCAGCTCCAGCCCTACCCCTTAGAAACCATCAGTGTTTGAGAATGAAGAACACCTGAGAGTTTGTGTTGGCTACAAGGTATTCAGAAGACTCATCTATTTGGTAACATCTTAATAGCAGCAAGTAAACATTTTGTAAGCTTGCAAAAAGCAACCTTTTCCATGAATGTCATTTTTTGTCATTTTAGTGATAGTTTAGTAACAACAAAGAGAAGGGATGAAATGAACTACAGTAGGTTTGTCATTTCCCCCAAGCAGAGTTAATTGTTTACTGAGCAGGGTAACCTCATCAGGCAGTACCCCACATCTCCAGTCACAGCCTCACAGTTCAAACTGGTTTCTTGTCCAAGGGCTGTGTGCAGGCATGCTAGAAGTGTGCCTGTGTCAGCTGTTCTGATCACGGCTGCCTTCACATACAGTGGAGAGCACAGCTCAGGTGAACAAACTTCAGGATCTGAATGGATTTCTACCTCAGCAAACCTCTGCCCTGGGCCTCAGAAACATACAGTTCCTGTATGATCCAAAGACACAGAATAAACATGGAATAAAGTATCAAAATGCAGGGAGAAACCTACGGATTTAATTTACAAGAGGGTCTCTAAGAAGTGCAAGGTGGACATAGCTCAGTTAACTGATAAATAATAACAGTCTATTAACTTTTTCATTAAAGTCTTTAATAGATGTGCAAGAATATAAATGATCTTAGCTGTTATGGATTAGTATACCATCTTCTGCACAATTAAAACTGGTCAGTAAAGATCCCAACTAATTAATTATACAAAACTACAAGAACATATTTACTGTTTTACAATCATTAAATTAGCTAGAATTTTCATTTACTATTTCAAATAAGACAACTATATATCATTACCAGATCCATTTGTAATATATTAGGATTTTTTTTTCCAAACCACATATTTAATTACATCCTTCATTTTCTTTTATTTATAAAACAAGTACTTTATATAAAAAAATTTCCCCTTCATCATGAACAGAACATTATTCAAACACTTGCACATGAGCAACCAAACTTGTACCCAGCAAACTATTTGGCAACACAGCAACATTGTAAATGCCTGTAAATTTTTAAATAAAAATCAAGTAGTCTTTACAATGTTTGTTTAGCAATTGTGTTTTTCTGTTTCCTTCCCTCCCTCCCAAAATGTTCTGAAACCTAGAAAAAAAGTTAAAAAAAAAACCTCAAACCCAACCCACATTCCTAGTATTCCCATTTAAAGTCCTATGCCCTGGCATGTCAAAGGACAGCTTAACCTGTCATATTTCCACTCTTGAGCTGCCTGCAGTCACTCTGGTAACTATTGATTCGTTTTATTACCAGGGGAGTTGAAAACACAGAAAGAAAAATTATTCAGGGTAAATAAAGTAAAAATTATTCAGGGTAAATAAAGTAAAAATTATTCAGGGTAAATAAAGTAAAAATTATTCAGGGTAAATAAAGTAATTGCCAGAGAGAAGGGGAAAAAAGGAATTAAAAAATGTCAGATTATGTTGAAAAGGTAAATATTTCCTTTAGTAGATGAAGTATCTAAAGTCCAGGCATTTGAGGCAAATACTTTTTACCAGTTAAATTATTTAGTGCTGATTAAAACACATTTTGCTTCGCATGAAAAGCTCCAGTCCAAGAGAGAAACCCACGCCGTAAATCCGGGTGGGTTCAGTACAACCAAACCACAGGCCTGTGGGACTGTGGCTGAAGGGGATCCAAAACGTGGATCGTTAGTCAAGGATGAATTGGACATTTCACACACGGGTTTGGCAGTCTGGCCCTAGCACCTCATGACCTGGATGTGGATCCGGAAGATGTCATGTTCAGCACCTAATGCAATGCTGCACCCTGAGAAAACCACGGTACTGTACAGAAAGTGAAAGCGTTGCCGTTTATCCTGCGTTTCACACCAAACTGGGCGAGATGTCATGGCACAGGGTTTCTCATTTTGCCGTCCCCCATCATTTCCCCTCCCTCCCCCTCGTTTCTACGACCCACACGCTGCAGTTCACCCAAAATCCAGCACAAAGCAGCGCTGCCTCCGCTGCTGATCCTCGCAGAGGCAGGTGAATCTTCACAAGCGTCTCCGGTTCCAGATCACGATATGACGCTTAATCCTCAAACGTCACGACATGAGCTCTTCCAAGCTGATACATTTTTAACCCCTTTCCCTGACCCCCACCCCTGCCCAGTTTCCACGAGAAGGGATCTGATAGTTAAGTTCTGCTTTATCCAATCTCTTAGGTATAAATTTTTCTTCCATTAGAAAATTTACTACTTTGAGGCAACTCATTTTACCAAAACATCCCATTCTCTTATGCAGAATGATCAGTAGTTAATACACACTGAGTAACTGTAAGCAGACAGTTTATCGTTAGTAGGAGGTGTGCTTTATCAGGAAAGTCTTTTATATTATGGTTATTCTAGATTTACTATTTAAACTTTAAGGCTATGCTTTATTACGCTTTTGCTCTATTTCTGAGTATTCGTATGGTTGATAAAAATACTTTTCAAAAATCTAATATACAACACAACATCATTGTAGGTGTAGGCACTGCTTAAGTGTTTTCAGAAAGCCTTTGTGTGCAAATTTAGTTTTCTTCAATCTATACATATTGGTAAATTTGGAGTTTAAAACAACAGATTTTGAAATTGATACTGTAAATTCTAATTTGGAATTAATATTGCTGAGTCACTCTGCATTTCAAATTCTATAAAGACCCAAATCAACATTAAGCTGCAGCTGTGAACCGTATGTTTCATATGTCAATGGTTACTTAATATTAACAAGCAGAACTTACCAGGTTTAAGAATGTTCCAAATAGGTAATAATTCTTCAATGCAGTTTATCCATTTAGGCACTTAAATCTTGTACCCAAATTGATGTTTTGATTGCTAATAAAACACAACTCCTTTTAAATATATCTGAGACGTTTAGACAGGTACCACTTGTGAAAAAAGGCATCAAAAATAAGCTTCGACACCACTGTAATATATTTTATTCTTCAGGATGTTACACTGTAATATTCTTCAACTGGTAGCTCATTGCATCAAGTGTTTGTAGAAAGCGTGTAGATCTCCAAGTTGCTCAGAATATCCTTCTCCCGGGATGCAATGAACACTTCAATCCTTCATGAAACAGGCACAAAATGCAAATTCCTTCATTTATGAAGCCAGTTGTGTCAGTGCCCAGAACTTAAGAATCACTAAGTGGCAGAAGACACCCACCGAAATCATTATTTTTCTTCTTTGATTTTCAGCAGCAATTTTTTTTGTTTGTTTGTTTGGTTTTTTTTTTGTTTTTTAAAAATCATTGGTCTCCATCCAAAATCTTACAGTTCCCCAGCCTCGCATGCATATACTGTGGTTAAGGATAAATGTAAAGGTCATTCACATTGTCCACAATGAAGATGTCATTCCTTCATACTGTTTCTTCTGTTGACAGCAATAACGGATTAATATATTCGAATCCTTCAAATTCTGACTGATCTATTCGCTTTATTATATCTCTGAAAAACAAATAAAAGCATTGGGTTAGCTTTATCAATTGCAAATATTACTTTTGTTGCTGCTCTTTTTCTTCAAACAAAATACCTTACAGAAACGTACGTATATGAAGTTGTACAGAAACAACAATAAATGGGGGGAAAAAAGTCTCTGAACATACAAATACTTAACACGTGTTAACATTTTATCCCAATATCTAAACCAATATGACTGGAAATTTTGAAAAAACTCATAAAAAAGTTTCTTCTGCCCTTCCAGTTAGGCAACATGTATACTTACAGGGCCCCAAAAGAAGCATATAAAAGTGACTTTTGTTTTATAACACCAATTTACAAGCAGATGTTTTGCTGTTAGCAAGGGCTGCTAATGTTCCATGAAAGATCAGTGCCACGAACGAGTCAGGCACAAAGCTAATACTTTTGAACACACACACATTGTATGCCCAGGAAATCCAAGGAAAGACTTATAAATTTATGTATATAAAAGAGACAGAACTTAAGACGTCGTGTTGATAAAACTTCCCACCATAGGTGTGCCTGCACTTGGCATCTGTGCTTTTGTTGTCAGTTAGAACCTGTACAGCACCATGAGCACACCTTGCAGTTCTGTGGTGCCACAAACAACAGCTGAAGAACCTGACACTTGCCAAAGAGAGAATAAGTTGGGAACTGTGGATCTACGATGCAGAGGTAACACTCTTACAAAATGCAGGCTTGAGCAGCTGGGCACACAAACATGGACAATGACATCTCCAAATATGTCATTATTGAGGGTGAGCACCTGCTACTCGAGATTGCAGCAAGAGAACGACCCTTCAGCAGTGAATTCATTGCCACTGGAGCAGACTGCAAGTTACAGTGCTGATTTTTACAACCACAAATTTAATCAATGTAACATTTACTTGTATAAATACAAATAATTCCCTGATCAACTAGCTAATCCTAGGGTTTGACCTAAAACCAGCAGGAACTTTATGAGAGAGGCTTTGAAACAGTGTTGTCCCCCTTTCAGAGCAGCTCAGCTTTATTGTTTAGTAACAAAGAAGAGGGAAAAGTAAGAGAAGCACCTAGGCTGGAATGTGACAATCTTGTGCCTTAATTATGAAAGCCTTTGGACAGTTGGCAACAGCCTCTGCTTGCCAGGAGGGCATCCCACTATATGCACTACTTCAGACAGTAGCTAAGAAAGTAGAAATCCTAAATCTGTTATTAAAATCCTGTTTCCAAAACCAATGCTTTAGGATCAGCTTTATTAAACATCTGATTAGACCCAAACATTAATTCTAGAACACCATCGATCAGTAGCTCTTCAGACTTCAGTTAGAAACTGTAGAGAATGCAAAGCTCTGGAAATTTAAGAACAAGGTTTTCTTCAAACATGAGGCTGGTGAACAGAACAAGCTGAAAACGTTCAGAAAAGAATGCATTATAGTCTTCAGCAGAGGACATCTAGTCAAATAAGGAAAAATGAACACAAATAAATAAAATATACTGGAAAAATATAAGCAAATCATATGCAAACCAATCTTTGCCACTCTCACAGTAAAGCTCACCTAAAAACCCTAGCTGCACAGATTTCACGATTCTGAGTCTTAGATTTTTAATAAACCCCAAATCTCCTTTGATTCTTTTTACTTTTATATCGAAATGCTAATAAGCAGCAGGAAGTTTTACTATACTTTTGATTGAAGAGCACAAAAATTTCAAAAGAAAACATGCATTATTATGCTCTTTAATGAGAATCAGTATTTTAAAGTTCTTTAACAGACAAATGACTTCAACAAGACCGTTTTCTTCTCCCCCATCACACAGAGCTTCCTCTTGTTTTTCCAAAGGAAGTTCAAGTTCCAATTTAAAACTTTTACACTTCAGTAAACCCTCAAAACTGTGTACAATTACAGTCTTAAAAGAGTTTAGGCAACCTAAATCTCCCATTTAACTACCAAAACTATAACCTGTCGCCTTACATGCTACCTTGTATCTGAAGGAGCTTCTTCCTTTGTGTACAGCAATCACTCCTCAGCCTTCAGATTCCTTTATCAAAGCTTACTTTCTCTTCCTGCAAAGTTTTCCCATAGCACATTTGAATAATAGCTTTCTGTAAGATTTTCCTGCTGTCTGAAGCTTACTCTGAGACCCGAGGAACTGTGCCTCAACTGTTTCTCCCAAGTACAGAAATGCAAGCTGGCTGAGGCAGGAATCAAATTTCCATCTCTTCTTTCCGTGCCAAGCACACGCTCAGCAGCAAATCAATACTGTATAATGAACTTTTATTAGAATACCAGGCAGTCTTCTAACACAGCAGTACAAGTTATGCAAGATATACAAGACACAAAGAATTTCAAATTTCCTTTAACTTGACTATGTTCTAACCCTAAGTACATAGTCTCTTAGTAATTTTCAAGTACTTTATAAATTGATTTCTTAATACGCAATTATATTCGAGGAAAAAGAGAAACATACTCATCATCTGGGGTTAGCTGCACAGGTTCGCTGGTGAACTGTGTATCAAAGTTATCCAAACCATAATCGTCTGTGATCTGAGGCTGAAATGGAGGGGTTGCTTGCTTCTTTTCCAGCTAAGAAAAAAAAAAATAGGGAAGGAAAAAATTAAAATATTGAATATTACAAAATCCCTTGAGACCATCAACATATATTGGTTCTAGAGTACACGCACTGAAAAGTCACTGTAGTTGAGTTTAATATTAATGGAAAATACAAACATGTTAAATACAATCTGACATTATGCTTTAGACTAGTAGATTTTGACACTAGATGGTATCTACTCGAGATCTTGTTTATCCTATTGCTGTATTTTAAACACAAAAACTTCAGAAATTATCAGAAATTAACAAACTTTTAAGTTTAAGGCTATAGAAAAAGCTGTTTCCCAAGTCTCTTGCTTATGTATTAAGAAAAACCATTGTTGCTATATACATCCAGCTCAACAGTTTTCAGACTGAGAACATACTCTAGAGGCTTTCCATTCAAGCCAAGATGCTTTCCCAGGACATAACTCATTCTTCCCTTCTATAAGCTCCTCTATAGTTGCCTCTTGTAAAGGCAGCCTCTTAGACTATGTCAAATCAACATTACCAGACTTACTTGTTAATTCCAGCACAGAACAAAAAAGTGAACAATATTTATGTCCCAATCAATCACTAGCCACATGGGTAAGCAATCATTAAAAGCAAGTAGTGCTAATCAACAAAATCGCTAGAGCAGCCCAGAATTTTATTCTGCAATTAAAATTTAACCATGAATACATTTACATACCATATTTACTGCTACAGGAACTGGAAGCCCATATTTATCTTCCTCACCAGGGATAGCCAATGAAACATGGGCATTTTTTTTAAAAAACTCAAGTAATGCTGTTGTAATCATGAAGAACCTTTTCCCGTTTGCTACACCAGTATCTACAGCTTTCTGATTAAGACAAATCCCTACAATCCTCCAGAGTTATCAGATTGCTTTTATCATGGTTTGAGTGATACGGAAGCTGATGGCAGAGTAAATATTATTTGTTTAAATCACTGCCCATGGCAGTTCCAAAAAAGGTGCCAGAACTCCTCTACCTTTTAAAGCTTGTTTTCAAGTAGTCATAGTCCCAGGCCCAGCAGAAAAATCATGGATTCCAGTTTTAACTTTTGGAAGTTGGTGGAAGCCTGAGCAACTGATCCAGTTGATATACTGGAAACCACTTGTCATGGTTTGAAGTGGGGGAGAGGTCCGGGGAGGTGGGGTTTAGTTGCTGGATTGGCCTAACCCACAACACCACTATATCAAAACCAGTCAATAATTTTCAGTTTTGCATGGCCAGCTAAGTGCTTGCCAACTAAACCACCTTTTACCAGAAATGACCAGTAATATTTCAATGGTTTCTACATGTTACATCTATCATATTACTGAGTCTCCCAGTTGAAATATTATTGAAGGTAAATCAGACATGCTCAACTTCCCATTCAGAACTTTAATTAAAGCATTTTAAAGGGCTAAATCTTGCAAATGAACTGGCTTATATATTTACTTTCATATTAGTGAACTCCCAGATGTAAATACCAAGTCTTAGGAATTTGGAGGATCAGGCACAATTGTAACACATTGACCTTTACTGCAAGAAACATTAAGATTACCTGGAAAATTCACCTGTGTATCCAAAATATCAGTGCTTATTATTTATTTTTTAAATATTTGCTTGAATCTCCTAATTTATCTATTCAAAAAATCTGCCATTAAGTCTTGTGCTCCAAAAGAATTTTAGGATCAGACTGTGGCATTTCTTGTTAGCCACACATCAGACTGAGAAAACATAGGTTCATCAGAAAGCCAACTTCCAAAGGATATCCAGTGTGCTGGTTACAAAACAAGGCATGGCAAATTACTAAACTGACAATTAAACATACCATCTCAATGAAGATGCTAGCATGTACTGCCTTATAAAAATGTGCTTTTTAAAATAAATTGTAGTTTTACTTTTTTATAGACGCTAGTAAATTTATATATTTTGAAAAAAAATACTTCTTGTAGCAACACTTCAGGAGCTGTTACTGAACATTAAAGAAAATGAAAATTTTAATTTGGCCCCAGATTGCCAATTTAGCAGTTGCTATAACCATAACTACGTTACATATAATAGATAACCATATATTTTCACAATTCTTCTGTTTATGACCAACTGAAATGCCAATTCTGCAAAACGTTTGCTCAACTGGTGTGCTACATCCACATAAAGCTCCTTTAATTTAAGGAAGCAGAGACTATGTACACCAATCTTGAACCCAGAGCTGGATGCAAGTCATTACTTCGTTTGTGCAACAAAATGACACAAAAGTTTCTGAGATAAGAATGAAAAAAAATTGTTAGAATCCTGTTTTCCAGCATTGGCACATGTACCTCTTAACATCCTTTCTGGATACTGCTTACAACACATTTGTCAGCATTGCTGTTGTCAGAGTGGAGCTTTCAAGCTATGTTCTTTGCTTCCATAGTTGTTTGAAACAGTCTGATAAAACCCTAGTGATTTCTTATGATACATTTAGAATCCTTTTTTCCCCACCTAACATCAGTGAATTAAACATTAATTAAAAGAACGAAGGAAAACATAAGGTAAATAAATCAGGCTTCCAATACCAAGAGAGTCTGCCTGTCAGTATTGTATGTCATCTTTGTTCCGTGGGTCCCCTAAGCAGAAATTCCAGGACCTTCAACAGGGTCACCACCCCACTGTTACGGGCTTTGTGAAGAAGAATCTTGGAGCTGTGTCAGAACAGGAGGTACCAAACTTCTTCCCTGGATCCCCTTGCAATAGAGAGGGTGTGCTGGGGCAGAACTGAAGGTGGCACAGCAAACAGAAGCAGAGCTGTAAATCTTGGGTGACAGAATCACCCAGTGGCATCTGCGAACACATTGCATAATTTGTGACAGGTTGCTGGAGGGAATCTTTTAGGCAGATCATAGAGGGACAAAGATGCCGTATTTCTCCCTTTCCTCCAAAAAAAAATAAAATAAAAAATTACTGTGGCTTAAAGATATGAACAGAGAATGTCAATCAGAACACTTGTGTAACAAAGGTTACGCTGTGATATTAACGATACTCCAAACTTCCAGATGGGCCATAGACCTTTTCGCACACCTACTGCCTCTGCAAAACCAAGAGCTTCACCTTCACTGGTAACAGCAAATCAGACCATGTAATTACTGAGCTTAGTAACTTGAAGATCCTTATTAACTTCCTTGAAAATTCTGTATAAGTTAAATTCAGCCTAGTGCAAAATTGTGGTTTTATGCATGAGCAGAAAAGGTGTTTTCAGTGAGAGTGAATATAAGATTTCAAGTTAAGTTACATAACTCATTCATCACTGACAATATCCCTTTTGGTAATGATACCCATAGGCATGCAATTGATTGAAGAATAAATTGCTATTTATTTCAGAATGAAATTCTGCTTAAATTAATTCTTCCTGTCCTCTCTGAATTGTGGAGGTTTTTTTGTTTTTTTAAATCATAGGAAGTATAATCCACTTACATTCTCCCTGTTGCATTACGGAATTTATCACTTTAAGTTTGTACTTAAAAAATACAAAATGTTACAGAAATTCCTGACCATTATTTTTCAGCTATGCATCTATACCATCTGTATCAATACTCATGCCACAGGGCATAAAAATCGACCACCACACAGGTCAGAAGGGAGTTAATTAACTGTATAAGAAACACTGTAGGCCCCCAGCGTTTGGAACCAGTTCTGCCTCCCCTGAAAGCTCCAGTATGGGCTTTGACAAAGCCAGGCTGCCAGACTGGGTCATTATTCTGACCAGTTACAGCCCACACGGCATATACAGTTTGGCTTAGCCTTGCTGGCCACTGGAGGTCACCCCTCCTCTAGAGAAATATCAGACAGAAAAATCAACATTCACAACTCCCTTTGGAAGAGACCTGATGACACTACGGGAAAATAGAAAATCAATTTGTTTTCATGCAAGACATCCTCAGTGATAACAGCATTACATGACAAAACAACAAGCCTGTTTTAATATGTGGTTTTTAATACATCGTTTTGTATGGAGACTGAAATTCCTTATGAAGTTTTGTTTTCATAGTTTTAATTTAAAAATTAAAGTACATTATTCAGGCTGTTCACCAACCTCTACATGCCTTTTGCTGGGAAAGCAGCAGACAGTCTTCTCTTTCTGCTTCACAGTTCTGAAATAACTTACTAGTTGTAATTCTTAATTTTTTGAAACATCATTTGGTATCTGCTCATGCAAAAGCAAAGTCCAACTTTTTGTTAATGTCAATTACTGTGAAGCTGCCAGAAAGACGAGATCCATCTTAAAGACTTCTCTGGTTGCCTAGTTAGTGTGGTGGTGGTATGTTTTTGAAGGCTTGTAGTATTAGAGTAAAAAATTATTTAAAAAAAAACAGGTAAGCATAATGGAAGTGAAAAGTAGTTACCACTAAATGTAAATGATTACCTCTATTACCAACATAGGTAGGAAACATGGTCTTAGGCCAGGACATCTCACTATGCTTGGCACAGCAGTAAACAACAAAAAGGTGATCAATCACAGAAAAATATTGCATTCCAGGTTTAAGACAAGAGTATGACGACTACGGATGGAGACATGAGGAAATCATGAAACTATAACTAGGCAGTGAATCTCAATACATCAACATCCCATCAGTTATCAAGACTTAGAAAGCATCATGAAATGAAAGTCGTAAGGAAGACCTGTAAAATCAGGTCCTCCCAAACAAGAATGGCAGCATGAAAGAAACAGCAAAATTAACTTTTAATAACTGAAGTAGGGTGGTAAGGGTGTCATTACGAGTCCGCCGTTGCTATGCATTAACATTTCAACTAGATGTTGAACATCAAGCTGCTGCTTGTATGTCACACTCACTAAAGCCCAAAAGCACTCTTATTACATACACCATATCGTGAACTTGTGGTCTTTAACTCGTGAAAATGAGTGAAACAAAAACTGCTGGTGCAGCTCTAGAAAAAGTTTTACTGCTTTTGTACATAGCTAACAGTAGCCATGGCTTTGTAGTTCTTTTTTCAGCATGTAATGGATAAATACCATAAAAACAGGCACTAGGATAAGAACAGACTTCATATACTGAAATAAACAAAAAAGCTTGTTGTGATACTTCCCTGGATGCTGTTAAATCATCCTATACACAGAGTGAGTAATCTAAAATGTTCTCAGCTGAGCCACATACAACTCAAATTACTAACACCCCAAAAAAAGAAAATGTTTATAGTATATGTGTTCACATCACCATTATTTATTTTTCCATTTAACTCGAGCTTCACAGTGAAAAAAATTTGAGTCAGCATTAGACTCATTTCCTTTTGTTTCAAACTAGAAAAGATTCGGAAAAGCTTTTAAGTCAAACTATTTTCTACTCATCACCTGCATTTCAAAGAAAACTCTAATAATTAAAAAGGCTTTCCGAATAGTCTTTCATTTTCTCCTGAATATATTTTGCAACACTTTTATTAGAAATTGAGCTTAAAACTTATCTGATATTTTAGATCCTTCTGAACAGCACTGTTCATAAAACAGTGATCCTGACTTGTTTTATTGCTCAAGTGTCAATAAACATAATGTCATTTCTGTGATGGTTTTCTAGGATGAAGACAGAAGTAGGCACAATTACCAAGTAATAGAAGCTTTTAAAAGGATCTACAATTTCAATAAAATTTTATGCCTGCAAAACCACTGAAATGCAAGTCATCTACTCCAGCATGGACCAAAAACTTCCCTCACATGAGGAGTAATAAAGAAAACCTGAAAGTAATAATCAGAGAATTATTTTAAATAACCACACTGCTTTCAAGCCACGTCCTTAAAAAAAAAAATGACCTGATCCTACTCACGCCTACTCATGCTACCAAACCCTGTTACCTATCTGAAAAATCCTACTGATTTTAAAAATCATGCAATTTGTAAATTCAGACTTTTTTTTAAATGTACTACAAGCTTAAAAATCATGCAATTTGTAAATTCAGACTTGTTTTTAAAATGTACTACAAGTAGACTACAAACTCTTCATGTATCTGAAGCACCTCATCTTCCATGGTTGTATCTAAACTGGTTTCAAGAGCCCTTACTCAGCCTGTTGGCTGTGTTTATCAGCTACTATCCTTCCCATCAAGGGAGAAAGCTTTCCAATTAGCAAGAGAAATGAATGCTGAAATAGTGTTCAAATAGACTGTCTTTGCTAGTCCACACTTCCTTTTTCAGTGGAGCTTAAAGTGTTTACTAGCAGGACTACATGAAATGACAGAACAGTAAGACACTGAATTCTGGAAATCTATGCAGTCCTTCACACCACAATTGCAGGCACCTTGTATGCATACTGGGTAAATTTTATAGCAGCAGAAACCAGTGCATGAGTTTGCAGAATCCACAAACAGAAACCAAGGAATAAATGATTCCACCAATGCTTTAACAGGTTTTTAAAAAACGTTCTCTAAAATTCCTCGTATGTTTTAAAAATTATACCCACAAGTTGTAACCATTCTTAAGATTTTGGAAGCAAGGCAGATTTTTGGTCATGAAATAAAGCTTGTTTCCATTATGTTATGTCACCTGGAGAAAGCAAAATAGCTTTTACATTTACAGAGGTGAATTTTGCTGTTTTTAAGGGGGTTGTTACATACATGCTCAACTACTGAACTAAAAGAATCTATTCCTTTTGAATACATGTAAACAGAAGTAATTATTTTTACCAGATCCCAGTCTATGCTGCGGAAAAATGTATGAGACTTGATATCAGAAAATCCTGTCTGCGGCTGACAACCAAGCCTTTCTTTGGGGTCCTGTGGAAAAACAGAAACTCCTATTACACCCCTAAGCCAGGTACAGCCCATGTTTGCCAAAAACCCACACACATGACTCGAGCATTCCCTATTCCTGCACAAACTGCTGCTAAGATACACACATTATGACTGTCAAGTGATTTTTGTTCTTTTTTTAACGAAGTTTGTTTGAAATTTTGTTTTTAAGTTATATTTTACCACTTCTTAAAATAAACACACCTAGATTTATTTGGTAATATATAATTAATAACCTTGTTTTCTCCATTAAAAAATTATCATAATGGTTCCATGGATTTCAATCAGCTTAATTAAACGAGTAGCAAGTATTACAGAAAAAAGTTTGTAAATAAGGCTATAGCTATTTTTTTCCACTAGGTACAGGCTTTTAAATCAAGTCTGTGCTGTGGAATTCCCTCAGTAAGCTGGCAACTAAGTAGTGGGGTTTTTTTAACACACAGGATATCAAGGTTTGATAGATTTTCTTAACGGTAAGCAGATTAACTTCTTAACTGTATTGCTTTCAAAAGGAAGCTCTGACTTCCAGATCTTAGATGCTAAAAATAAAAGAATGTTATTTACCTTGTTTAAAAATCCTTTTAACACATGGGAAGCCTTGACAGAAAGAAATCTTGGAATCCGGATTGGCTTCTCCAGAATAACTGTTATGGGTTTAAAAATAGCAACATTGTTTTTTCTTTTATGACATCGACCGTGATTTCAGTACAAACACTATATTATTTAAATGCATTAGCATTTGGAAAATAGGAAAATACAGTAATTACTTAAAATAATGCAAAAAAAAAAAAAGAGAGCTACAGTAATTCAAGGCACTATTATATTGACATTTCAGAATTTCCCGAGAGAAGTATTAACTTCATTATCTTCTTCTATTGCTGTAGAAGGAACAGGGAATAAAACCTTTTCAGTGCCCTCAGTGTATGGAAAAGTGTGACTTCAAACAGCAACTGATTTAATGGCAAGAAGACCACAGCAGGTTCTGTTACATAATTGCAGAAACCCGTTTGAAGAATTGCTCTGTGTGTAAAGGAGCAGGCAACCTCGTGATGCCCCAGACTGGTACAGAGCTTCTATTGCAATAAATATCGTAAGTATTACTACTTTGGTTTAAAAAAATTCATGCATCACTATTCTTGCAAGGTAAGACTGTTAAAAAGCAGTTGTATTAATTTCATCAGAAGTAAAGAAAAAAATTAAAAGCTATTTTAAAGTCAATTCTTGGCCTGTGGACTCCCTTCTAAGAAAGATACCATCCCATAAAATTTCTGTCTGTTATTTCCAAACTGTGGATGTTTCTTAAAAAAAACCACTTCATTGTCTGAAGAAGGCTTCCTAATTCTAGATCTAATTCCATTTTATCCGAGTTCAACAAAATAAATTCCTGGGATGAATAACTGGAAACATTTCTACCCTACAGTAGGGTCGACAGGCAGCTATGGGATAACATTGGAAAAGGAAAGCCTAACTGTCCTACTGAAACTGCTAGTTTTCATTATTTCTCCCCCAAGGAAAAAAAAAAAAAAAATCAAAATGAGGGTACCTTGGAAGAGGTAATCTTCAGTGTTCATGTCTGGATTGTCAGTAATAATATCAAATGGAGACCTTCCTGCCATCATTTCGAACATCAACACACCGAGAGCCCACCAGTCCACACTGAACCCTGTAAATATTTGCAGAGCAGATTTTTAGCCAGAACACCTTGAATTTAGGTGTTATCTCTCATCTAAATGAAGATTAATGGCCTGGTTCTACAAAGTACTGAAATTACCTACTTTGATGCCACAGACACCATGACTTACGCTGAATTCTGCTGTCTGGCAGACATCTACAAACTCTTATACGAATTACCTTTGTAATCCCAGTTCAGAAAACTCTCAAATCTCATCCAGTGATAGCGTACTGAGGCTGAAAATTTTCAGATTTTTTTTTTTTAAAAAAAAAGAACTTGAATTGTACATCCTAGTATAACTAAATGACATTCAACCTATTCATCAGATCAGTTCACAAGTAACAACATTGGTTAAATATGACACTCCTGACTTCTGCATGAGCAGTAACTTTTTGTTAACAGCACTCTATAACCTTGTCTAGAGGACAACAGGATCTGGGATACCGAGTGCTTCAAGGAGGGGATTTGGTTTTGCTACAGTAACATTTTTCAAGGAAAGTACAATTTAAACTAAAATGAGCAATTGCAAGAGAAAACCAAAAATATTTTTTTCTGAAATGCTAAGGTTAAACTGTACAATATTCCATTTTCTCAACATATAACGGCACAAAAACGTGGAAATCTAAAGATAACTGTATTTGAACCAACCTACAACTAGAATTTTGATTTGTGATTTATTATAACTACAAATTGTTTAGTCACAGCTTACCATATTCTTCTCCTCTGAGGATCTCTGGTGCAATATAATTTGGTGTCCCACAGAAAGTGCTTGTAGTGTCACCAGGGCCCAAACCTTCCTACGTGCATAAAACATTAAATAAATTAAAAGCTGACCTCCTTTTCTGGGAATTTCCCTTAGACTTACAAAGCCAAGTTACTTAGTGTAAAGACCTTTCTTTTAAAAAAGGCAGCGCTAGAGTAAAATAAACACTTGCAGTACTCAAAGCTGACTTGTGGCTTCACAGCTTATCTTCAGTAAATTAAGTGATTAAAAGGGAGTCACCATGCACTTGAGCAGCTGCTGTGGAAGCAGAGTTCCCTAAACTGCCTCTCAGTGCCAAAGGCTGCAGTGTAAGAACGAGCTACCATCCGTGCAGCCCAGCCACAGAGAGCGATGAGCAATTCATGTTCACAGGAGCACACTTACTAAGAGATGGAAAAAAAAATTTAAGAACATGCTTGTCTTCAACATAAATTTCTAGCTTGGCTCATGTAGGAAACAAAACACATAAAAGAAATGAACTTGGCCAACAGGCCAAACTTCTGTCCCCAGAAGTGGCCCTAACTGGAAATATACAAAGGAAAAAAGTGACAAATGTGGTTCTGTTCTTCAACAGTCATTTTTCAGAATAAAGTGCCTATTCCACAACCAAATTCAGTGCTCAGTAACACCAGCATTAAGGATAACTTTTCTTAGTTTCTCTTGATATCCCTGGATGCAGTATTTGACACAAAAGCATAACCAGAGAGACATACTACTGAATGACAAAATGACAAAAGGAAGGTAAGAAAAATCCTACCTTGCACATGCCGTAATCTGTTAATTTGATATGACCCTCTGCATCTAAAAGAACATTGTCCAGTTTTAAATCTCTGTAGATTATGCCTCTTTCATGTAGGAAGTTTAGAGCGATACAAATTTCAGCAGCATAAAACCTGCAATTAAAAAGGAAAAAATTCATATTAGCATTAAGATTGTACAAAGAAAACCTAGTGTGAGTAAAAAAAAATTCTGTTCTTAGAACACCACTTTATAGTCAGCTTGTCTATGAACAGTATACAAAAAAGCTACACTCATAAGGATGCTAACCTCATGTATTGTAAAACCATTCCTTAAATTAAATATGAGAAATTATTTTGTTCATTCCACTAATTAAGAAAATGTTTATTCTTTATCCTATGGATTTTTTCTGAAAATTCCAAGCGTGACAAAATCAGCTGAAAACACAGATCTTCTAAGAGTTACGACGAGATTTTATGTTGTACAAAGCCATGCAAAATAGATTTTTTCTTCTCCTACCAACACTATATTAATTCCATGTAAGACCAAAGTAAGTAGAATAGTTACATCTATCAACAGATCAAAGAAGCATTACCTAAATATGAAGCAATAAACAAAAGTAAATAGGAATAATTGTTACTACTTATCAAATGTTTGCTTGCTTTAAAAAAAACAAACCAAACCACAGCATATCCTTCAAAAAAAAATGAACATTTCTTCCCAGGGCAGTACATTCTAAAATTAAGAATCAACCTTTTGTTCTTTCTTTTCTATTCCCGTTCTTTTATGGAATTAAGTTTGGAAAGCATTTCATACAGCATTAAACAACTACAACACAAAAACCCCACTATAACTGTGTTAAAAAAATACCTTGCGTGTTCTTCAGGAAGTTTTCTTTGCCGTTGCATATGGAACATAAGATCTCCTCCGTTTACATACTCTATGACAAGAAACAATCTGAAAGTACATAACATAATTAATGGATTCCAAAGAAACTCGCAAGAAGAAAACCTATTCTTATTCTTCCAATTTGGGCCATTTTCACTTCCACTCTTGGATTAGACTTCTAGATTTCTTACAGTTACAGAAACTATTTAAAAGAAAAAAGAGAGTTCTTTCTGGACCCATACTATGTAGGATCACATCCTTTATTTAAGTGACAGCCTACAGGCAAAGGAGAGACAGCTGCACCCAACAGGCTACTATGTGGTGTGAAACCTGCAGAACTGTTTTCACAGCACTTGCCTAATACAACGAGGTAGTCACTTGGTGATATATGTAAAAGAAAAGCCCTAAGCATGTAATAATGTACAGACTTTTTAAAAAGTTACTTAGCTATTAGCAAAACCACAGAAGTATGCTAGAAGATGACACAAGGCAAAAATGAAAGTTTATACAAAAAAGGTAAAATTGTCATTCATTTGCAAAAAGCCATAACACCACCACAGTTACATGACTGTCTCATTCAATTATGTTGATTCTTTTGACTCTTATGGAACAAAATTCCACAGTATAAAACTTGCTCAGAAAGTGCACTGGTTTGAATAACACCTGATTGACTGAGGAAGGAAAAAAAAAAAGAAAAGCCTGTCTGAAATATTGCTGATTATTTTAAATAAATTTTTTTAGACTAAAAGATATTTTAAAAGTTGCATCAATTTAAATTCAATCTTTTTTATTAAAGGGTGATCAGTAAGTAAGCTGACACAGACTTCCCTGATGTATAATTATTACATTGTTACTCTGCTTGACTAAATATTGTTCTTTTTTAGTAGCAAAGCTGCAGCATCGAATCCAAACAGACCTAAGTTAACAAGGCTTCTACATGGACAAAATCTGAAACTTCTCATTTGTATTTTTGAAACAGTTTTGCCACTAAGAGGTCACGATCTTTTAAAAAATACTTCATCATTAACAATAATTAGTGAGTATCTAGCAATATTAGGCATCAATATGTTCTGTAGGATTTATGATATTAACTAAACATATAACTACGAAGCTTGCTGTTTGTGCTGGTTCTGTTCCTGAAAAGCTCAGACCCATGGAAAGCAGGATGACCTAAGATTCACTTAGACAGAGGTAACCCAAATTTACTTTCAAAAAAAATGTTTTATCTGAACAGCATATGACACAATAATCCTTTTCCAATTAAAGTTACATGATATAACATCATATTAATATACACAAAATTATTTCTATTAAACCCTATAATCATCACTGAACTCTTTCTGATACACTGCTAATAACCATACTGTCATTCCTAGGAGAAAAAAAAAAGTTTTATTTGTACAGTCACACTGAGACTAAAGAAGTTGAGGACTGAGAGACTCGGTTCACCTATGTCCGTTATTTATCAGAGATGAAAACTAAACTTGGCAAGCTCGTAGGGCAGATAATGAAATCTCACCCTCCCTGGACTTGGCCAAGACCCTTATCTGTAGAAAAACCCGGATCAAAAGGCAGTGCAATGGAGCCACTTCTGCTCCTCTGCACAGCACCTGCACCGGACGCACGATCCGGGCTCGGAAAGGCTGCAGCACCAGGGCTCACCAGTTCCTCTGCAGAACTATCTTTGAAACAGTCTTCTCAAAACAAACCAGAGACAAGCCAGCAGGGGACAGAAATACAGGTGGAATCAGCTGTATAAAAAGACTTGCATTACGTTTGCAGGAAAGGTTTAATCCTTGGCAAAACCTGATCCAAGCAATGCTGTCAAGGTCAAAGACCTACAGGATGGAAACATGCTGAGTGAGAGTTTCTTTCGAAAGTCGTGGCTGTTCCAGGAGGCAGTATTTCTTTATACACCTAATTTTCCATGAGTTGAAAGCTCCTTTCCATATATTCACACATTGGAAAACATTCCATTTGGAAAACACGTGCTCCAGTCTCTCTGACCATTCTAATTGGTAACAATTAAAGATACTTTTTTTTTTTTCCTTTGAAAAGGATTCTTCATTCGAAACACTTAAAGTGTTAAGAACTTAAAAAGGTAAACCAGGAAAAATTATTGGACACAACCCAGCTTTCAAGTGGCCTCCCCACAAGGATATAAAACACTAAACTATAATTAAATAAACAATAAACAAAATAGTTAACAATGCCATGAGTATTTTATTACAGCATTCCTGATATGTTTTGCCTCCTACTTTCCTATCTTATTTAGAAGCTTCCGAGGCTTTATCACCATCCAGAACCCGCGATGTGAAGTTGCTTGTGTTAAGCCATGTTCAAGCATGGAAATGCTGGTAGTCCTTGCTGGTTTTAAAAGTGTTTACTGAAACACCAATGGTTCTATAGAATGGTGGTTGCAGATTGTTGCCATCGTTGGAAGCCACTTATCTGGCAATTCTGGGCAAGCCCAAAGCATGCATTTTATGACAGTAATAAAACAAGCACCACTAGTATCTGAAGCAATGTAAACATCTCCATTTAGCATCAATTAGCATCTTTTTAAAGTATGCATTTCTTTAAGATTAAAGTTTATTTAAAATTATATTTAAGAGAAAGAACATGTTCCTTGGGAACTTCCCCAACCCCATTAGTACACTTATACACAAACTGTCCTCATATTACAACTGGTTTTCTTTGAGCCAATTAACACAATCTGATGTTGATGAATTTATTTCCTTTAAATTAGTTTCATGCTTCTCTTTGTTCTTGTAATGAGGTCATAATTGTGATTTTATACCATTACAGCTACAACCAAATTGCAAATTCATGACATTATTGCTGTATCTGTGGCAAATGGCTGAAGTTATAAACATAAAACTACAGTTTCACTGCAAAGAGAAGCTAGGCTGGAAAAACAGGACTTCTTTATACAACAGGAATACAGTAAGCTTGGACTATGTTCAGCATGGTTTTTTTCTATTTCTGCTCCTCATCTACGTCAGTGTAACTACCGAAGTGACACGCAAAGGATCTTTCTATTGCTGACTTCAGCCTTTTTCTTGTTTCCCATACTTATAAGAAACCTCATTCTCAACACTTTGCTCTGCCTGATCACTTGAATTTTTATATCAGATGTTCAGGACTACTTAGTAATTGTTGAGAAGGTGTTTGTAAATGTTGGTTTAACTTAAAGGGCCTTTCGCTACAGTTTGTTAGCTGTGTAAAGATTTTTTTACTTTTTTTTTTTTTTCTCCTATCTGCAAGACAAATTTCTTTCGGTCAAATCCTTAGCCAGTCACCTTTGGAGCTCATTCTTTCTCCCTGCTCCAAAACACTCCCTGTTCCATGTACCTTCAGAATGCTCTTCATACAGCTTCTTCACTTCCTTTACCTTAGCTACGTTTTTCCTCCTAGGAAAATGCTATTTCCTATGACTATAACCACTAAGGAGTTGAAAGTTTGGGGATTGATGAAACGGTACAGTGCATGCTTTCACGTTTTAAAAATTGATAATACACATTGTAATGAACAAGTGATTATTCTTAAGGATGAATGACTAGATAATCCATGAAAACTTCTTAAAACTGCTTGCACTCTACACTGCACACCATTCAAGAAAGCCAGATAAAAGTAATTCCATCTTCCGATTAGGATACATATAGCACTAGGCATTATAAAGGCACAACAGTAAGCAGGTGCCTATGAAAACAAAAAAAACCCAAACCACAAAACCCACACACATCCAAATTCCCCAGTGACACACCTAAGTATGGGCATATGAGTTCTCCTAGATTTTCTTCATATTCCAATTGCAAAATAACAAGCAAATAATCCACTTGGGACTGTGCACACAAGGACAAAAAACCAGTATTTCAAAGTAGCTAAGAGTTTATTAAGCACTTTCTCAAATAAAATCATGTACTTCAATACCTGCTAAGGGCTCATAAGCCTCGTATAGGTAAAAAATACTGCATACACACATACGTTTTTAAGTTATTATTAAAAACTATTATTACTGAGCAGCCCAACTCTTATGCAGTTTTAAAGAACAGAGAACTACAGTTCGGCCTGTGAGGACGGATCCAGCCCTCCTCAGTAGAGTCAGGCATCATAAACCATCTCTCACAAAGCTCTGTGTTCCCCTGCTACCACCCTCCTACTCCTGAAGCCACACAGCCTGTGCCCAGGAGGACAGCCCACAGCTCCTCCTAGTTCTCATTCCTCATCTCCCTTCAGATCTGGACCTGGAAAACCCCTGCCTTTTTCTGCACATCACACTGGCTAAGCTACCCACTAGAACTGGCTTTGCTGTAGTAGTGAATCCCTGGTGACACTAATGCTTCCTTCCAAAAAATTACTATGACGGCAGTGGTTATGTTTGCTTTATGAGAAGCAGTTAGTACAATGATTAAGATTTTCAAAACAAAATAATTTCAGATCTTTCTTACCGACTTGTTGTTTGAAAGCATGAATGTAAACCAACTAGGAATGGGTTACTGGATGCCTGTTCAAACACATGTTTCTCTGTCTGTACCCAATCAATATCCTGAAATAGAGTAATTGAACAATCAGAACTCCTGCTGGATAACCACTGTGGGTATTCCCAGAAAAGAAATTGTGAACATCTATGCTCCCTTACATATACCATCATTGTTACACGTTCTTCAGAAAGACAAAACCCCCTAAAATCTGGAGGAAGTTTTAAAGCATTTTAATTCAATTATATATTAGAAGTTTCTTAACCATTTAGAAAGGGTAAAATTATCATACATGTGCAATATTTGATACACTGCTTATACTGCTTCATAGAATTAAATTCAATTATCTCAGATAAATGGTCCTATGTGTGCTGAAGCAACTCATACCAGTAACACAAGCAATGTGAATTTCCAGTTTTTAAAAGCTTCAAATAAACAACTTCATTTTCTCAACTGAAACTCAAAACGAATTCAATGAAACTACCAAAACCTGATGAGTTTGTCCAGCCAAAATAATTCTCAAAAGCATCACAGACTACCTTCTTCAACAGGGAGAAGTCCTGAACACCCAGTGCAACACCACATAAAAAACCCTATCAAAATTCAAATGATACTAGCATAGTACTGCAAAATTCGGATCTGTAATAACAAAGCATGTAAACATTTTTCATACAGCTATACAAAATTTAAACCTTACAGACAACCGGTTTTAGCAGCAGATATTCACTCTTCATGCAACACACTGATCATGTTCCACCCTGCAAACACTCAGTACCCTGCCAACACACTACAAATAATTGTTCTAAAATTCTCCATTTCCAACAGATACTTCCAGCTTTGCAACCAATCTGGAGACAACAAAGACAGATACTAAAAACCAGGCCTTCCTGTCAAGGATAGTTAGTGAAACTAAAGTCTCAAAGGAAATGAAGAACTGTCACCATCAAATTAAATAAATCTGTTGGGTTTATGTTCAGACACTCCTGAAGATGGAATACCTTGCAAGGGTAAACCTGGGTCCAAACATGAGACAAAAATCCAATTTTGAATAAAACAATAAACTTGTCCACTTCTTTTTGTTTTAACTGAATGAGTTTCTCTTTAAAACTAACCCCTTCATTATTGCACTTGTGTACTACTACATTAGCATCATAATAGTGCACCACTGTTAACAAGATTAAGCTTAGAAAAGTTTAATTTTCTTTCAAAACTAAGTGCCCAAATTCCACTCTATTTATCTCATCACTTACAGATTAGCACATCCAGGTTGGAATACTTTTCATGTGCATTCTACTAAGACTATTAATAATTTTTAGTTGTTATTAAAGTAAGGGACGTTTCTCTCAGATTTAATCCTGGTGCTTCATGCAGACAGTTGATGATAAACGAGTTCAAAAGTCAGTAAAACTTCTATTACAGAAATGTTATCTAAAGCCTTATCTGCCTTCTTAATTGAATGTTTTTTGTTAAAGCATACTAAATTTTTACAATATGTAACAGAATGCAGTTAACACAGAATTTTACCTCATCATCATGGACCAATTCTTTTTTCACTACTTTCATTGCATAAATTTGATCATTCTTTTTTAACCGAACTAAAAGAACTTTGGCATAACTTCCACGTCCGATAACTCTGATTAAATCAAAGTCCTGTAGTCCAAGCCCCTGAGAAATCTTAATTCCATCCATTCCATCAATGACTGGTTTGATATCCTGCATAAAAAGAAACAGATACTAGAAACAGAAGACATTTTCATAATAAGCAACTATTAAAGCAAAGAGGCCTTTAGCCACCGGACAGAGCTGCTGAGTTTGCTTGCTTTTGTCACTGGCACACACATCCCAATGGCTGAAAACACATTGGTTTAGAAATGTTTGGTGGGTATTGGTTTTGCTCCTCCTAAAAGTTACTGTGTTTTTTCAAGGCAGTAGTTCATTCAATAAATCATTTAAATATTCCCTACTGAAAAACAGAAGACAATGCCTTGAAAAATGAAGTTTTATTCAAATTCTTAAATCACAAGACATGCAGAATTATCCTTCACACTAAGTGAAGAGCATCTTTCATATTTTGGCAGATATTGTAGTACAAATTAATAAAGGACATCTAAAAAGATGATAGATAAGAAAACAATATTTTGCTAATAAATACACCTGTCTTGATTTGAGTTCAGGCAACAGCTGTCTGTATCAAGTTCACTACAGTTTTAATGAAAATGAAAATTTCTAATAGGTGTCTGGGAACATACAGAAGCGGATGCCAAGTTCTCAAGTGTGAGAATCTGCTGGAAATATTCCACCATGAAGAATGTTATTTTAAAGTTAGTTATCTGAAAAGATAAATTTTATCTGACTGTTTGCTGGAGTTAGATGTGAGCACACGAGACTGAAGAAGCAGCAGTTGAACTACACAAACGCAGCACGTACTTTCACATTTCATGCTTCACCAATATATCCATTGCTTTGACATACTTCTGTGGCCTATTTTTATCTGACCTCGTACTACTGTACTTGTAGACAGATCAGCATTCTGCTGAACTATGGAAAGCATTTATATAAAGAATCTTGATCTAGGATTGACTGCTATTAGAAGAGATTGCTCTCAGCTTAAAGATTCTAGTCAACAAAGCTCCCAGAATGCCATTTCCTCTCTGTAGGATACCTTAAATTATTTTAGTAAAGCTCAGAAGCAAGGTGGTAAAATCAGAGCAGCATAATTCAGGACAATTGAGCAAACAGCACCTATCAAAATTTAAACATAACCAGTATCTACCTGAGCACTAACCATAGCAGAAGTCAGCAATTCTAGACAGCAATTGAAATTCTCTCTTTTAAATTTAGACCCTTCTATCTCTGAATTTGAGATAAAAATCTAAAGACACGTGACTGAAAACAAGGCAGTCACCAAGAGCAGGAACTACTCAAGTGTGAAATAACGGTAGTGACAAGTATTGTGATAGAGGTAGAGGGGAAAAAAGGTGCAGGCTTGTTAGAAGTGGGATATCAAACTAACTGCCAGCGTTCTACAGAGAGCATCCTATTTATTAAATAGGCCAGAAGCATTTTTAAAAAGAAATGTCTTGAAGCCCTTTAGAATTAAAGCATATTGGGATTTTTCAAACTGCTTTAAGGGAATAACTTTCTTGGTATGCAGAGATTGTGTCAGACTGTCTACAAAAGAGCTGAAAAACAGCATTTAGGTGTATGTCATTCTACTTGTATTTCCACAGGAGCTGCCTATAAATTAGTAGCTACTATTTATATGAAACATCCCAGACAGCTGGATGGTTAGTGTATTATCAGACTGAACCAAATTTCAGAATGATAGCCTGCAGATGTAGCCTGAGGGTGATAAAGGGTGCACGTCCATTAGGGAGAGCAGACACGACAACGTCAAAGCCAGCATTTGTTGCAACAGCCCATAAACTCAAACTCTCTGTTAAACCACTGTTGTTCCGACATGAATAGAGGAGAAATTAAAAAAGAAAAAAGGCTCTCACATCATGATTGAGATAACAAGATGAAATCTGAAAAATCCAATAAAAATGCTTAAAAAAATAGTCAATTTTGAAAAAGAAAACCCAGGCTTCTTTTTTTAAAGACTAGTAGAAAAAAAATTGGATAAATAATTAGCTATTTTATATCAAGTCGAATGATTAAGAGTGTGTAAATGTGAATCACAAAAATATTTTTAAAATATACCTCAGAGTCATCTTTAATGTTGTCATGTTTCCGGTTTGAAGGAATGTAGGGAACTGAAAAAGAAATCAAACAAGTAGTGTGGTTAAGGCCTCCATTAGAAATCATTTTAAAAATTGATAAACAGAATGATGATTTAGCAGCTTAGGGTTTGCTTTAAATACTACATGCCAGTTGATCAGATTTTTCCACTTTATTCTTGTAATCTTGACAGCAGATCCTACGGGCACTGCAGAAACAACCAACTCCGAGACAGTAAGAAATTCATCAATGAACCTTTCAGCTCACAATAGTATCTGGAGTCATTTTGGAAAATGGGTATGATAAATGGGCCCTTAAACAAGACAGGTTAAACCATCAAAAAATATTAGCTTAGAAAGAGTTCTCCAAATTACACAAAATTAAGAAATACTTAAAGTCTGAGGGCGCACTTATATTTGCATCCTAGTTTGGATCTGAAGTACAGGTTTTTTTTGTTTGTTTTAAAAAGTAAATCTATTGTTGCCAATTGCCCTGTGCTTAATGTCACATTCTGGAATGGTTTCAGAGCACATGAATTTAGGATGAAACTGGACCAGATGATACAATTCAGAAATACATTTACTATAACTGAGTCCCTAACGAGCATTTAGTCCATGGGACTAAACTAGAGCTAATCCAAAGTAATCTTTAAAAAACAAACAAACAAACAGGTAGAAAGTAAACTGGGCCTCCAACTGGGGAAACAAACAAGAAAGTACTCACTGCCATCAGTTTCTTCTGAAGGGAGGTCAACTTCATCATTTTTATCATCTAACTGAGGTTCCTGGGAAGGCATGACCGAATCCTTGCAAAATACAGACATTACATAGGAAAAAAAGTCGGTTTAGGCCATTTCAAGTGAGTATGTCCTGCCATGTGACTACCATGCACCTGACATATGTGTCTTCCAGAATGAAAGCTGGATTTTGTAGAAAGTATTTCCAAATATTAACATTTTGCAATGCACTGTAAAACCCGCCTACCAACAGCCTAAATGCTATGTCAACCACTCCGCATCTACAACAGATGTTTAGTCGTCTTCTAAAAGTAAGATTACTAGATTCTATTGCAAAGTTCAAACTTTAATTCTAGTTAAGACTTCTGAGCCTGTTTCACACGGAACTGCAATAAAGTGAACACTTCAGCATGTTGTTACTCACTCAATTCAGAGCACTGACATAGTCCTTTCCTTTTTAAAAAACATCAACAGTTACTCGTTATGCAAAGGTATTGCACAAATCGCTAAAGATCACAATATCAAATAGCTTTATAGTACATTTGGACCCTAGACTCATTTGCAACTCATAATGAGACATGTAGGACTGTTTCAGAAGGTATAGCAACGTGCATAAATTGGCAAAGAATCTAGTAATGTCAAGGCAAGTTATATGCAATATCAATAAAGAAAAACCCTGGTTTGAGTTAGAGACAATGTGATGCAACAACCAGTGAGATACTGGTTCTAGTCTGTGATGAGTGTGGGGAAGGGCTAAAATTCAGATACAGATAAATGTTTAAAGCTTAGGAAATGCTAGACTTGCCACTGGAATATGGGAGGGGAATGGCAAGGATGAGAACAGTACTGGAGAAACTGAGATGCCAGAACATGAAAGCAACAAGCCTTTTTGCAAGCAGTAGTGCAAAAGCCACTCTAGTGTCTCAGTTATTAAAACCTTCCCACAGGCTAAACGGAACAAACACTAAGGTTGCCAATGACAACTCTTCTGTATTTGTAAAGTACAATAGGTCTACTGGAGAAGTCAGACTCCAGCTTGCTCACACTTAAGTCGTATTACAAGTTTTCTTTTCCCACTTTGTCTCTACTGCTCACAATTCAAAGGCTTGTCCTCCATAGACATTTCGGAAACTGAAAACCAAACACCAAGTGTTATAGATCTACAACCACGCACAGCATCTCATTTCTTCGGATGCACATTCAGAAACAGCAACACGGGACCCAATGAAACTCCTTAGCTTCATACAGAATGCAAACTTACCATATGCCTTTTGCAGGTCAGTGGAACAAGTATATGACAACGTTTATGGACCAACAATTTGCAGTTGATACACTTGTAGCCTTGCCTTCCGAGACCCCATATCCTTTCACTGCACTGGCCACAATACGCTCTCTGAAAGCAAGAATGCATATCATTAATTCAATTATCGATTCCTTTCTGTAGGTGAGTAATTATCTAGCAGCAAGAATCTACCCCAGAACAACCCATCCTAGTCACCTCCTAACAAGTGTTCAGTAATAATCCTTTTAGAATAGCCAGGGTTTCTCCAATAACTAATGGTTACATTTCATACTTAGAATTGAGCTAAATGCAGTCGTTTTTAATGAATATTAAGAAAAACAAGTATCTCAGGCATATGGAACACATTACAGTCTAACATTAGCAAATCATTCTTAGAGAATGAGAATACTTTGAGTTTCAGGTTCTGACAGAGGTTACCCAAACACAACTGACACGAATTTGTACTACACAGTTATGCATGAAAAGCACCCAAACTGACTGCTTTGGAGAACATTGGCATAAAATGTTAGAAAAGACAGAAGTATGAATAATGTTCTATATCTGCACCTATATACTTTAACAGTGGTAGAACATCAGTAGGAGCTTTCAATAATTACAACTCATCTATCAAGTCTGATGTAAAACCTCTGTATGTCGCACTAAAAAAACATTTAACATTAAAAAAAATGGCCTTTTTAATACATGCAACAAAATGGCATCTGAATAAGTTAAATCAAAATGAGGACAAATTAAGAAGCCAGACATTCTACTGCTGACTTTAACAGGGCAGGTCTTTAAATAATTTTTCCAATGTATGTGTGCTGTGGTCATTTTATCCACTTTACTCAAAGTGCCAAACAGCAGTCGGATTCTTACACGCCAAGTAGTCACCTAGTCTCAGTCCCCACTCTACCCAGCGCACAGACTGCCAACAGAAGACTTACTCACTAGTTTCTATCTGTGAATTTTCTCCAGTAATTACTGTAACAGGCTGACACTGCCTATCATTCTGTAAGCTGCACGTGAAGTCCTGCACTCATCCCCCATTTCAGGCTTAGACAGAACTCCTCAACTGTCCCGAAGCCACAAAACAGTGACAGTCTGTTCCTCACAGCAAACTGCAAGTTAAAGTGTGGTTATTCAGATCCTTAGACCAATGAATCACACACGGTGTCCTGCCCAAAAGTGCTAAGCTACTATAAATACTTACTAGTAGTATTAGGGGGAAAAAAAAAAAAAAAGGCAAAAACCGACAAAAAAAGAAATCATGACCAAAGAATAGAAATTAAAAAATATTTTCTATATGGCTCTTCTCATATTTTGATGGTTGTAGAAAACAAAACTTGACTACATCCCATTCTGTACAGCCAGTCCTCGTTGACCACGAGAAATCCAAACTGCATTGCCCCTGAAAAAAAAACAACAAACCCCCCCCCCAAAACATACTGCCTAATAAGAGAAGGAGTCTTGGACATTTATAGCCACTTCTTTCAAAATTCCTGGTCCATGTCAACTTCATCAGTAACTTCAGTCAGATATGGTTTAGTGTTCTGGCTTTGTAAGATTTCATTCATCTACAGACAGCTGTAACAAAGTCGTCTTGTTTAGGATTGCTGACAAACGAGCATGCTAATGAGGTCTCAAAATCACAGAATCATTAAGGTTGGAACGGACCTCTAAGATATCAAGTCCAACCATCAACCCAATACCACCGTGCCCACTAAACAAGTCCTGAAATGCTACATCTACATGTTTGGCCCATCGATCCAGCCTGTCCAGATCCCTCTGCAGAGCCTTCCTACCCTCCAGCAGATCAACACTCCCACCCAGATCGGTGTCATCTGCAAACTCACCAAGGGAGCACTCGACTCCCTCATCCAGGTCATTGACAAAGATATTAAACAAGACTGGCCCCAGAACTGAGCCCTGGCAAACACCACTTGTGACCAGCCACCAGTTGGATTTAACTCCATTCACTCCAACCCTCTGGGCTCGGCCATCCAGCCAGTTTTTTACCCAGCAAGGAATACACCTGTCTAAGCCATGAGCCACCAGCTTCTCAAGGAAAATGCTGAGAGATGGTGTCAAAGGCCTTACTGAAGTCCAGGTAGACAACATCCACAGCCTTTCCCTCATCCACTAGGTGAGTCACTTGGTCATAGAAATATTTATATGTATATTCTCCATTTGCCTAATTTCAAGTAAAACATCATTATCTACAACATTATAAATTATTAACATGGCAGGTATGCATTCACAATGTTTCAAAGAAATACGTTTTAACTGTGTTGCAGACAGGCACAAAAAAGTATATGTTTCATACTATAAATTAAAAAAAAAAATTGAGTTGGCATACCACATTATACAAATGCATGTTATAATTCTGATGTATGACTCACATTTTTCACATACCTAGTGATAAGATACTGAGTTTTAAGGGGATTTTCCTTCTTTCAATGCAGTTTTGAGGTGGGGAATATTAGAAAAAAAATGCTGATTTCATTTAGAAAAAAGTTACTGCTGAATCAGAAAGTTAACTCACCGTACTCAAGTTTTGTATGGAATTCCCAAAAGCGTACACATGCTGCAATACTCAGGCATAATGGGATAAGTGAAGGAGGTGTCAGCCTTAAAGCTACATTCACTTACTTGTGTGCATTAAGTCAGATTATTAACACAGTTGTATTTTAGCTCAATAAAACAGATTTTTTTTTCTTAATTAGATTATGTAATACCTCAGATTCAAAACAGTTAAAGCTAACATCAAGAACTCTAAGAATGACAAAAAGTACTGAAGGTAAAATATGCTAATAAGCAATCAAAATACATACAGAGTGGAGAGGAGAAAAGCTGCTCTAAGTATGCATCAGTTTAAACAGTCACAAAAGCGTTTTTAAAGACTTTAAAAATAACTGTTTTCCACCAATCATATATTAACTCCACCCCAGATGCAAAGACTTACAAGTTTTTCTGATTGCTATGACCTGAATAACACTGCACAGACTGTGAAGTCACATGAATAAGCATCTTACTTCTCCTTTCTTTCCAACACTCAAATAGAGAAAAAGCACACACTGATAAAACAATTACCAGAGAACATCACCAAAACCCAACATTTTATGCCACAGTACTCACTCTGTTAAAACGTTTGGCTTGAAACAAATGCCCATTCACTCGGTACAGCTTCCTCCATCTTCTGGCTCCACGTCGGTAGATCGATTCTAAGAGAGAAATTAAAAAGGTGTAAGCAGCAGCACGGCAGCACAGCAGCTCCAGACTCACTACGTTAAGCAAGTCGTGATTGAAACAATCTTTTCTAAATATCAACGCACAGCTCAAATCTCTGCTGGTTTTGTTTGTTTGTTTTTTGTTCTTAAATCAGCCGTAAAAGACAGCTTCTGCAGGATGTGCTTTCACCACTGCCTCTCCCTTTTCTCTATCCCTCTTTTTTCCTCACATGATCATAATCTCGTTACCGTTTCTTGGCCGCTGGCTGCTCAAGCTCAGGTGAGAGGGACAGACAACTGTTAAAGAAACAGCCTCCTCTGGCAAAGTCGTGATGCTGATCTCACCACGTCGCCTTCACAACTAAACATGCGAAGCGTGTCTGCTGCTCATGATGCTTCAGATACACAATATTCAAGATGGTACAAGTCTCGAGAGCTACATTATTTGACCTCGTTTTTATCTTGCCATTAAACATCACCAAAACATTTCTTCCACTAGCGAAACAGTTCAAGTGCAGGTCTGCAATGACTTCCAATACATTCTAAACATAACAACAAGAAGCCCTTTGATCTGCTATAGAAACTTTGGGAGGCTTGATTGATAAACAGTGCTGCATTCTGACAAGGTATTAAACTGTAAATTTGTAAGACTCAGAAGTTAATTCAGAACCTTCTTAAAGTTCCATCATTAATGTTTCTGTCCTTCAAGTTTTAAACAGTGAAGTTTTAAATATCCGCATCTTATTGATGAAGTGTTGGGTTTTTTATTGAAAAACCCAAACAGTTCCACTGTCAAAAGATACTGCAAGTAGCAAATAGTTTCTTTTTTAAAAAGTATTTTAACTTAATATTGAGCAAGTCAAAAATCACAGGCTACTGACATAAAATGACTGATTGAAATACAAGGTTTGATTTAGATGCTCTGATTTTGTCCTTCTAAAGCAAGGCACACAAAAGCATCAAAGCTTCTGTGACTCCACAAATCTACAGTGCCAAATCCACAAACATTCATGTTACTCTATTTGCATGCGCAAACGTTTACTTTGCAAGCATTTGAAACAGACATTTCACTATTAAATAAATTGTTAACAATTCAAAAAAAACCTCCAACTTCTCCAAGGAGCTGAAAGACTGCATGCCAGAGGTGGCAAAGATACAGTTACTAGAATAGAAACGTATCACTTTATATGTTTGACTCATAACTCTTCAAAATCTGCCAAATATAAACTTTAAAGTAAACAAAAAACTCTGCTTTTCCTAAGTGCAAAGAAAATTTAAATGAGAACTTAGTAAAACTATTGCAAAGTTTTTGCCTAAAAACATGCCCAAACACAAACACCAACGAAAAACTGTTCCCCCATTTGTAGGATGACTTTTCACCAAGAGAAAAAACTTCACAAGGATTTTCTCCAAAATTGCTAATTGATTCATTAGACAAAGCACCATATGGAGGCAACCTAATACATCTGTGTTCTGAACATTAGCTTATCACTGACATGAGGAATATTAAACGAACGATAAGTTAACGAGCAGCTTGTGCTGATGAAGTCTGTAAATAAAGTAGCAAGTCACTTCTCTAATTAATGATAAATATTAAATCAAAGTCAGGGTTTTACCCCATATACTTGCAAGGCAACAGTCTAACAAAAAGTGCACCTAATACAGCACAGCTTCAAAAAGTAGGAACCTCTACAATTTACCACTAAGACCCTATACTGAACCAGTGGCAAAGGCAAACCAATTCCTATTCCCTGTCTCTAAAAGAGGCCAAGCTAAAAAAAAAAAAACACAAACAAACAAAAAACAACCCCAGCCACGATTGTAAGACACACCTTTCACACCTTTATATCACAAGTTCTATTATCATTGTGACACAAGCTTTTTTTGTGGGACACAAATACATATTCTCATTACAATGAATGTACTGAACTTTATCTATTTCCAAGATTGGAAAATTGGAGGGAAAAAACAGAGAAGAGACTGTTTTTCAAGTTAAAGGGGAAATAAAAATACTCAAACTGAATGCCTGAAACAAAATTAACCAGCTGCCTCCAAAAAGCAGTGCGAAACAACTGACTGTTGCTGTTGTGCGATTCTTCCCTCTGTTGTCAAGCTGTGCAACTACATCACTAACAGTAACACACAGTGAACCTTGTAAATATATTTAATATTGTTTTTTTCAAAGACACTCCCTAGGGTTTGGGTTTTTCACCTTTTAAAACATATTGTAGAAAAAACTTGAGGAAAAAATTAAACAAAAAAATTAATTATTAATATAAACAAATGAACAAATTGTCTATTGTTCAGTGTTCATTTCAAATTAACTCATCTACAGAAGATACTCCCTCAGTTCAAAATTACCTCCTTGGAACTTAGCAGAAAGGATGTGAAATTTGCCTTTGAAAACTTGGTAAAGCAGGGAGAAATCGAAGGGGGCACAATAATTTTTTCAAATGACAACATACCTCCCCAACAGTGGAGAAGAAAAACAGTCTAAAATCCAGGTCCAATCTGGTTCCAAGCCCAAAATATTATTTTTTCCATCTGAAAGTTCAGAAATGCTTGTGTTTTCCAGAATATGTAAGAGAATTCATCAGTTCTCTGAAAAGCGTGGTGTACACCAATGAATAGCAGTAAGATAGCCACCAAAAAATATCCCCTCTGCATTTGGATTTACAAATGCAACTCTAAAGTCTGCTTTTCTGTGATCAAACTATAATGAAATCTTCTACTACACTAAGCACAGAGATCACTAGCTATTGCTGCAAATCACTTCTCAGAGATTAATGCAAGTTGTTTACACGCCAATTCCATTGCCTGCCAGCTGGACACTATGAGAATGCCCAGTTTTTGTTTTGTTCTTTTCGTGTTTTGCTGAGTAGACAAGTGAGCATTCTTTCAAAACTAACTCATGAATTACAAGTAGGAAATTGATATTGGTAAATCAGATGGACTCTGAGTTAGATAAAAAGGTAACACATAAAAATGATTACATACAAAGCTAGAACAAATTTTGGGAAAACTAAGTTCTAAAGAACTTTGATAGTGTGTTGTTTTACATATCTGTTACTTAAGATGTCCCAACTAGTTAAATTTAAAGACTAAAACTGCTTTCTGAAATATGTAACACACATACATGGTATGGTATGTTAATTGCGCCTTCTTTTTATTATGAATAAGCTGGTACATACAACTGCCATTCGTTTGTAGAAGCTAGAAATGGAAAAGAGTATCCTTAACAATATATAGGTATTGAGTGCTTTCACCTCTTGCTGTTATTAAGATAGCATTTTATTTTTTATTTAGTGTTATTTAAAACTGATTGGCAGTCAGGGAACCGTACCCTCATCCTTCTTTTCTTTTTCAACAGACACTAAAGTTAACTACAAAGCCAGATCAACTTTGATGAAAAAAAAATAATAATAAAAAAATCAAGAACAATTATGATAGCAATAATGACATGGGAAGTGTACGACACATAGCATCAGCAGAGAAGCAACAAGGAAATATTTACTCAGCACTTACTGCAACACGGCTGGCTAGCATACTGTTTGAACACCCTACTCCCCACTGCCTTAGAAGAGGGTCAACTGGCTCCCACTTCGGGACTGCTAGCTGGAAAACTTGTCCTCCATGCACACTGATTTCTCATGCATGATCTCTTGGCTGCTCGTATTCATACCCTTCTGCTCAAATGGCTCCATGCCATTGCAAGGTGGTAAGTCACATTTACAAAGACAATGCCATCCAACAAAAACAGAGCTAGCATCCCATTTTTAAAATCTAGCATCTCTGCTGCACTGGTGCTGTGTGTCCCTTTGGATCAGTCACACCTATTAATGCCTTATGCTCTTTCTTGCTCTCCAAACTGAACAGCTCATATGAACAGCAATTAGAAAATCTGGATTGCCTTGTCGTTCAAAATACTGATTGCATTCAAAATATTTGAGAAAATTAAGAAACAAAGGGATCTAAAAAACTACATTTAAAAATAGAGGCTTTCACTTTCAAACAAAAAAATAATAGTACCTTATATTCACAGAAATACAATAAATAAAACGCTTAGAGAACACATAAATTGTCCCTAAAAGTTCCCTGTACTTGTGATCAGGGGGACTGATCAATCAAAACAAAATTGTGGATGAGGCCTCAGAGATGCACCTCAGAGACACCTAGTGTAGAAGACAACAATGGATCCTACCAGAACAACAAGCAAGATTGCCACTTCAGCTATCAAACAAACAGGGTACATCCAAGGATTTGCCTTATTATCTCTTGAGCAAAACAAAATAATCAATTGATACTTTAAAAGAGTAAAAAAAAATAGTACTTTAAAAGTACTAAAAAAAATTAGTAGCCAACAAAATTTACAGAATTATTTCTTGAGAACTGGAATGGGAATGTAACCCTCAAACAATCATGGTAAACAAACATATGAGATAACTTGGTATATTTCTGGCAAACAAACAAACAAAAAAGTAAATGAAAGACTTAAAAATGTGGGGTTTGCTCTTTCTTATTACAAGATTTTTTTTAAATTGATCCAGATTGCCTTAGTATCAAGTCTAGGAACTGTAATTGTTTTGGTTAGGCTGCTGAGTACAGTAAGTCCTACAGCTGAAGGGGCCACCTGGTTGCATACGAGTTGGGCGATGCACAGAACAGACATTACAACCTCAAAGGCATCACCCTGAGCACAGAAAGGCTGCACAACTTCACAGGCATCAGCCCCACAGCCAACAACTTCTTTCTTTTCACTAAAGACTGCTGTGCATGTAAGAGCTGAACAGTTGAATACGCTTACAATGTTACCAAGATAGAAAAATCTGGGATTAAACCAGGACAAGTGCAGGATTCTCCCACTCTCACCTGGTGCAGAAATTGTAGCAAGTTCAGGTGATCCACTTCCATATTGAATCCTAGAACACCAACTGCGAGGTCAATCACAGACTTTCAATTCTCTTTTTACTTGCAAGACTCACTATTTATTAACT